ATACCGTTAACTTGGTTTAATCTTTAATTTAATAAAACATAACCTAACGAAAAAAGTTCAGGAAATTTTTATTCTTCTGCATCGAATAACAACAAACTCACTAGATTTTCATGGCCAACCCTACTATATAAAGATCGTGAACGGATAATAGCTTCAGATTTATTTGTCATTTTTATTCAATCAAATTTGTTGTTAATTAAAGGATTAAAATATAATATAAAATATTTTATCATGCGTTCAGATTTTTTTATAAATCGACTCTCTCTTATCGTGCCAAATGACCCATAAATGCCACATAATATGTAATCTGTAACAAATTTACAACGCCAGCCACAATCAGTTCGTTGGTTGCTTAAACATGAAGATGATTCGCAAATCAGTTTTTACTTTGTGCTTGTTGTTAAATTTGTTTTTATTTATAAGGGCGGACAATCAAGAAACGGTAAGACAAAATTTATTGAAAATTATACATACTTACATAATACTCCTACATTACTCGAGTTTGAAAAGTTGCGGTTATTTTGTTTACTTTTTGTAAAGTGTGATAACATTTCTAACATATACGCAGTACTTTTCAATTCAGTAATAAATAAAAATCCTACTTAAATAAATTGGACGAAACAAAAATTGTAGTCAAGCAGTATTCCACAACATTTTGACGTCATTTCCACGAGTCAACGGCCCGACTCCCTTAATATCGAACAAACTCTAACCAAACAGCTTGAAAATTTTCAAGAAAATCTCATCACTAAACTAAAAGCTTTAGAAGCTACGAATTTGAAACAGTTAGACGAGCTAACGCATCGTGTGGAAGCTCTAGAAGCCGCTAAAACGTCAACACAACAAGTCGTACACCGTCTAGAAGCTCTCGAGTCAGAAAATAATCACCTAAAATTTTCCGAATGGACGAAGACCGCACAGTTGGACCAGTTAACACGTCGTCTAAAGGCGCTTGAAAACAAAAATTCAAATCTTCCACGTAATTGTAGAGAAATTAAAGAGAGGGGTTACCATGTTTCTACCACTTACCTAATCAAACCAGACTTTGCCCCTAATGCCATAAGAGTCCTGTGTGACTTGGAAACGAGAGGCGGTGGATGGACGTACATTCTTAATAGGTTTGATGGATCGCAAAGCTTTGGCTTTGATTTGGAAGAATTTAAAAAAGGGTTTGGTAATCTTTCTGGTGAATTTTGGCTGGGGCTAGATAACATTCACTATTTGACTGGTAAGTCGTTAAATCAATAAAAAGAATAAAATGAAAGTGTTATAAATTACAATGTAGGTTATAAAAATAGCGAGTTGTTGGTGGAACTAGAAGATTGGAAGAACAGGTCAATGTTCGCCCATTATGGTCGTTTCAGTGTGGGAAGTGAAGATGAAGATTACGTAATGACTGTGAAGGAATATAGCGGTACGGCTACAAATGGCATGATTTACAGTGACAATATGAAATTTAGTACAAAAACGAAAGATCGGGATTTGATGCCTACAGAAAATTGTGCAGAATATTTGGGTGAGTGTATGAAACAGTTTATTTCTTGGCGATTTTGATGGGAAAGTAAACAACTTTTTAGACGCAAGTTGGTGGTTCAGCGATTGTACTAGGTGTCTTCTCACGGGAAAGTACTCGAAAGGAGAAATTTCTATTCATGAGGACAGGCAAAGTATGTTCTGGAGCACAAACACGGAACGTTATATTCTGAAGAAAGCGAAAATGATGGTTAGGCCTATACTTAAATGAAATAAGAATTAAATATGTTATTTTTGTTGTTTAGCACCCAATAAAATTCTCTTTCATAAATTCACGAGTTCTGTCTTGACACTGTAACATGGAAACAACATAGCAGCATACATGGACCAACCATGTGAAGTTGGTTCACCGAAGTTGAAGAACATGCAATACTAATATTAATTTAATATCAGAAGAGAAAGATTGCTGCCACTACCTTGGATTCGAACGCATTATGTAGCGAAAACATACTCTGCTGTCTTGTTTATATTTGGTCTGGCGCGGAGTGTCCGTTCGCACTTCACCACCGATGATAAGAAACGGAAACTCGATAAAATCCCGCTTATGGATAATCCCGTAAAAAAACTTGGCAGATTTTAAAATAAGTAAATACACAAAAACGAAATTTTAAAAAGTTTCATTAAACCAGATTTTTTCATTATTGAAAATTTTGAAATTAATACACGGCGTAGAAATTAATATCTAATACACTGGAATTACTTTTAATTAATTAGGAAAATCAAAAATACTGGTTTTTATTCCAATTAAGCATGTTGAGCTCGATTTTAAAAAATTTACCTTAAACACAAACAGCACAAATACTTCTTCATTACAAAAATTATTTCTACAACTTGCCCCTCGTCGACTTTAAAATCTTCAATAATAAGAAAACACTCACACTCAAAAATGTCAATACATCTTTTGTGCAAATAACAAAGAAAGATTTTTTTGAAAAAAATTTAAAAAAATCAGTTCAGTCAAATTTACAATGTTAGAATCAGTATTATTTGGTTATATTGCAGTCAAAGAACTAAGACAAAATTGTGAATAGTTTTTGAAATATGACGTGATAAAAATCAAAAAACACAATTTTAGAATTCTCAAAATTGAAGAAATATTTAATTCGATTTAATACGAAATTTCAATTTATAAAAATAAAATTTTTCCACAAACAGAAGCGAAATGACAAAACTTTACGATAATTTATGTATGATTCAAGTATCAAGTTCTTCATAAATCGGTAGATTTTTGATAACTGACAACACCGCAGCCAATTTTTCGATTTTATATTCCCGAGTTTTCAGTTTTATATTTCTTAATTTCTAATTTTCTGATTTGTCAATTTTTCGGTTCTTTAGTTTGTCGATTTCAATTTTTCGGCTTTGCGATTTTCAAATATTTAATGTTTAGATTTTTCACTTTTGAAATGTTCAATTTTTTTCTTGAATTTTGTGTTTTTGCAACCTTTAAAGTTTTACTTTCTCGATTTTCCAAATGTCATCATTTTTTCGATTTGCAATTTTCGCGTTTTTTTTTATCTTTTGATTTTTCGAGTTTGAATTTTCCAGTTTTTTATTTCTTGATTTTTCTATTTTAAATTTTTCAGTTTCACAGTTTCACGATTTTTAATTTTTTGATTTATCAGTTTTAAATAAATCAGTTTTCGATTTGTTATTTTTTTGTTTGCACAAAATTTGAAAGTTGCTCAAATTCTCCCATGAAGGCATCCGTCTGTACCTAAACTTTCTCAGGATCACAGATTTTACCTTTTTTTTTTTGTGGGTGCTCAAATTAGGTAGAAATGAAATTTTATCCTGGCGCCGACACCTTTTTTCCAGAAAATTTGAAAGGTGCTCAAATTCTTCCGAACCAAATTTTCTCAGGATCACGAATCTGTGTTAATTTTTCCTGTAGGTTGTTAAATATGAGGTAAATTAAAGTTTATCCTGGCACCTGCACCATTCTTTTCACAAATTTTGAAAGGTTGTCAAATTTTCCCAGAATAGGTTCTATTCAAAACGAAATTTTCTGAGGAACACGAATCTGTCTTTATTTTTCCTCTAGATCTTGAAATAAGGGGGAAATTAAAGTTGACTTTAGCGTCTGTGTTAAAAATTTCGATACACCTTTTGTGCAAGGAACAAAGAAACATTTTTTTGATAGAAATAAAAAAAAACTAGTTCAGTAAAAGTTACAATGTTAGAATCAGTATTGTTTGGTTATATTACAGTTAAAAAAACAAGACAATATTTTGAACAGTTTTTGAAATATGATATGATAAAAACCAAAAAACACTATTTTAGTACGAATCTGTACCTCCTTTCATTATTTCGCTAGGTGAATCTGATTCAGAATCTAAATATGAAAATGACGGTGATGATACAGATTTTCATAGCGAAATAATGGAAATGGAGTGAATTGTAGCTTGTCGGGGGGTGATATTTTTACGCATCTTTCGTTCTAAATTTACCAAGGCAGTGTGTGAAAAACTACCTGACGTACAACAAAATAAGTATAATTTTAGTTAGATCATCCACGTTGTTACTTTGCACCAAATTTTAAGCATTTTAATTTTTTTTTGTAACTCTTCATGGACCTGGAGAAGGCGTATAGTAACATTCTTATTAATAAGCGTTTGGAAGTACTTAGTAAAAGCAAATAAAGAGCACTTACGTAAGCATTAGTAATAGCTATATAGATAAATCATTCAATTTAAGGCCGGAAAAATGTTTCAGAAAAGCTAAACCTATCAAAGCACTAGAGCAAGGTTGTTGTCTTTTACCAACCCCTTTAGTAATCTTAGAAAAGTGAAAAAAGAAGTTGGAAGATATGGAAATAGGCTGTTCACAAAGGTCGAAATTTCCATTTATAAGAAGAGTGGGCGAGCAGAACGAACTGATGATTGAGAATTAAAGATGAGATGCTAAATTTGGCATGCGACAATAGTCGTATGCAGAACCCCCATTCATATAAAAACAATGCTTAAGTGAAATTTTGGTGTTTGTTCCTTACATATGAAATAAACACTTATTGAAAAGCCGAATAACTGTTTTAAATAGCGTAAAGTTTTATGCTTTCTGAGAAATGGATACCGTAAACTTGGTCATTGCTACTGAAAACTGAAAGTATCGGCAACAATGTTTATATTTCTGGCATATTTTTTAACCTTTAATTTAATACAACATAACCTAACGAAAAAAGTTCAGGGAATTTTTATTCTTCTGCATCGAATACCAACAAACTCACTAGATTTTCATGGCCAACCCTACAATATAGAGATCGTGAACGGATAATAGCTTCAAATTTATTTGTCCTTTTCATTCAATCAAATTTGTTGTTAATTAAATGATTAAAATATAATACAAAATATTTTATCATGCGTTCAAATTTTTTATAAATCGACTCTCTCTTATCGTGCCAAATGACCCATAAATGCCACATAATATATAATCTGTAACAAACATACAACGCCAGTCACAATCAGTTCGTTGGTTGCTTAAACATGCAGATGATTCGCAAATCAGTTTTTACTTTGTACTTGTTGTTAAATTTGTTTTTATTTATAAGGGCAGATAATCAAGACACGGTAAGACAAAATTTATTGAAAATAATACTTACAAAAAACATTGCTCAACTTTGGAAAGTAGCGGTTATTTTGTTTACTCTTTGTATGAATTATCTCAGAAATTAGACAAAACAAAAATTTTAGGCAACCCGAATTCTGCAACATTTCGACGTCGTTTCCACGAGTCAAAGACCGTCTGACTCCCTTAAAATCGACCAAGCTCTAACCAAACAACTGGAAATTTTTCAAGAAAATCTCACCACTAAACTAAAAGCTTTAGAAGCTACGAATTTGAAACAGTTAGACGAGTTAACGCATCGTGTGGAAGCTCTAGAAGCCGCTAAAACGTCAACACAACAAGTCGTACACCGTCTAGAAGCTCTCGAGTTTGAAAATAATCGCCTAAAATTTTCCGAATTGACGAAGACCGCACAATTGGACCAGTTAACACGTCGTCTAAAGGCGCTTGAAAATAAAAATTCAAATCTTCCACGTAATTGTAGAGAAATTAAAGAGAGGGGTTACGATATTTCTACCACTTACCTAATAAAACCAGACTTTGCCCCTAATGCCATAAAAGTCCTATGTGACTTGGAAAAGAGGGGCGGTGGATGGACGTACATTCTTAATAGGTTTGATGGATCGCAAAGCTTTGGCTTTGATTTGGAAGAATATAAAAAAGGGTTTGGTAATCTTTCTGGTGAATTTTGGCTGGGGCTGGATAACATTCACTATTTGACTGGTAAATAAAATATTATCAATAAAAAGAATAAAATGAAAAGTGTTATAAATTACAATGTAGGTTATAAAAATAACGAGTTGTTGGTGGAACTAGAAGATTGGAAGAACAGGTCAATGTTCGCCCATTATGGTCGTTTCAGTGTGGGCAGTGAAGATGAAGATTACGTAATGACTGCGAAGGAATATAGCGGTACGGCTACAAACGGCATGATTTACAGTGACAATATGAAATTTAGTACAAAAACGAAAGATCGGGATTTGATGCCTTCAGAAAATTGTGCAGAATATTTGGGTGAGTGTATGAAACAGTTTATTTCTTGGCGATTTTGATGGGAATGTGAACAACTTTTTAGACGCAAGTTGGTGGTTCCGCGACTGCACTAGGTGTCTTCTCACGGGAAAGTACTCGAAAGGAGAACGTTCTTTTTATGAGGAAAGGCAAAGTATGTTCTGGAGCACAAACACGGAAACTTATATTCTCAAGAAAGCCAAAATGATGGTTAGGCCTAGACTTAAATGAAATAAGAATTAAATTTGTTATTTCTGTTGTTTAGCACCCAATAAAATTCTCTTAATTTCATAAATTCACAAGTTATGGCTTGACACTGTAACATAGGAACAACATAGCAGCATACAAGAACAATCGTGTGAAGTTGGTTCGCCGAAATTTCCTCCTTTAAAGTTTTACTTTTTCGATTTTCCACATGTCATCATTTTTTCGATTTGCAATTGTCACGTTTTCTTTTATTTTTTTTATGTTTTGATTTTTCGAGTTTGAATTTGTTTACTTGTTTCTTGATTTTTCTATATTAAATTGTTCAGTTTCTCAGTTTGACCATTTTTAATTTTTTGATTTATCAGTTATAAATAGATCAGTTTTCGATTTTTTATTTTTTTATGTTTGCACAAAATTTGAAACTTCCTCAAATTCTCCCATGAAGGCATGCCTAAACTTTCTCAGGGTCACAGATTTTGCGCAATTTTTTTGTGGGTGGTCAAATCAGGCAGAAATGAATTTTTATTCGGGCGTCTACACAATTTTTCCAGTAAATTTGAAAGGTGCTCAAATTCTTCCGAACCAAATTTTCGTTAAATACGAGGTAAATTAAAGTTCATCCTGGCGCCAGCACCATTTTTTTCACAAATTTTGAAAGATCATCAAATTTTCCCAGAATAGGTTCTATTCAAACCGAAATTTTCTGAGGAACACGAATCTGTCTTTATTTTTCCTGTAGATCTTGAAATAAGGGAGAAATTAAAGTTTATTCTAACGCCTCTATTAAAAATTTCGATACACCTTATGTGCAAGTAACAAAGAAAGATTTTTTTGAAAAAAATTGAAAAAAACTAGTTCAGTAAAATTTACAATGTTAGAATCAATATTGTTTGATTATATTACAGTTAAAGAACCAAGACAAAATTTTGAACAGTTTTTGAAATATGACATGATAAAAACCAAAAAACACAATTTCAGGATTATCAAAATTGAAGAAAGAATTCGCAGTTTTTTCGATTTCATAATGTCGAATTTTCTAAGTTAAATTTCTCGATTTCTCGATTTTTCATCTTTGAGTTTTTGAATTTTTAATTCGATGATTTGTCAATTTTTGGGTTCTTTTTGATTTTTTGGCTTTTGAAATATTCAATTTTTTCATCAATTTTGTTGTGTCTGCAAATTTTCGATTTCGATATTCAGTTTTAATTTTTTTTTATCTTTAACTTTTACAGTTTCACTTTTTCGAGTTTTCAAAATGTAATTTTTTCGACTTGCAATTTCCGCGTTTTCCTTTTAAAATTTTTTAATGTTTTGTTTCTTGAATTTTTCTATATTAAATTTTCCAGTTATTTTAATTTTTTGATTTTTCAATTTTTTGTTTCTTTGGATCGCTGGTGTAAAATCTTCAATAATAAATAACAAAAAACTAACATGTTAAAAATTTCAGTACACCTTTTGGGCGACGATTTTTTTTATAAAATTTAAAAAAGTAGAAGTTTGGTTATATGTATTAATGTTAAAAAACTGAAACAAAATTTTGAATAGTTTTTGTAATATGGCGTAATAAAGACCAAAAAACACAATTTTGGAATAATCAAAATTGAATATTAGATTTATTATGAAATTTTAATCTACCTCTAAAAATAAAATTTTAACACGAATACAAGCGGAATAACTAGACTTTATGGCAATTTATGTATGAATAGAATAGAATGGAATAGAATATTTATTAACGGGATACCCCTATTACAATATTAATTAAATTATTAATAATATAAGAAACAAAACTTATAAAACTAAATATGTATACTAAATATTAAATAATAAATAAATAAATACGTGCAAAATAAAATTAAAAATTATTAATTAAGAATTTACAAAATAACTTAGATTCCTGATCAAATTCTTAAACGCAGTTTTATTAATATTAAATATGTTGAACCTCTGGTCCTCTGCGAGTGTGTTGGCTGTGTTCATCATTCGTCTAATTGGATGGTTTTGCGATCTTTTTGTTATCGACAAAGGAATTCTGAAAATCAGTTGACTGCGAGTCAATCTGCTATCAGCAGGCAACACAATGAAAGATAGTTTTTCTAGTAAGCAGACATTGTCTATTTCACCATTAATAAGTCCTCGAAGAAATGAAATATCGGCAATTATGCGATGAGTTTCGAGTGAATTATTATGAAAATTACACATTACCCAAGTGTAATTACCCTGTATATGAGTTCGACCAAGTTTAAACTCTAATAAGCGAAGGAATTTTTTCTGTACTCTTTCCAATAAATCACAATCTGTTTTTTAATTAGGATACCATATGGAAGAACAATTGATTCAAGTACCAAGTTTTTCAGAAATTGGTAGATTTTCGATAACTGACAACACCGCCGCGATTTTTTCGTTTTCATGTCGGTGAGTCTTCAGTTTTAAATTTTTCAATTTTTAATTTTTTATTTCTCAATGATTCTTCAGTTTATCGATTTCAATTTTCCGGTTTTTCAATTTTCAATTATTTAATTTTTTGATTTTTTAACTTTTGCAATTTTCAACTTTTTTCTTGAATTTTGTGTTTTTGTAACCTTTAAAATTTCATCTATTCGGTTTTTCAAAATGTCATCATTTTTTCGATTTGCAATTTTGGCGTTTGCCTTTTCAATTTTTTTTGTTTTGATTTTTCGACTTTGAATTTTCCAATTTTTTGTTTCTTGAAATTCTCTATATTAAATTTTTCAGTTTCACGATTTTTAATTTTATGATTTATCAGTTTTGAATATTGGTTTTTCGATTTTTTATTTTTTTTATGTTTGAACAAAATTTTAAAGTTGCTCAAATTCTTCCGGAAAAGGTTCTATCTGAACCAAATTTCCTCAGGATCACGAATTTATTATTCTTGTAGGTCGCTAAATACGAGGGAAATTAAAGTTTATCCTGGCGCCTGCACAATTTTTTTCACAAATTTTGAAAGATCCTCAAATTTTCCCAGAAGAGGTTCTATCAACCCGAAATTTTCTGAGGATTACGACTCTGTGTTTATTTTTACTGTACATCTTCAAATAACTTATTATTTATTATTCTAACGCCTCCGTTAAAAATTTCAATACACCTTTTGTGCAGGTTAGAAAGAAAAAATTTTTTGATAAAAATAAAAAAAAAATACTCTATTACAGTAAAATTTACAGTGTTAGAATCACTATGGTTTGGTTATGTTACAGTTAAAGAGCTAAGACAAAATTTTGAATAGTTTTTGAAATATTACGTGATAAGAACCAAAAAACCCAATTTTAGAATTATCAAAATTGAAGAGATATGCAATACCATTTTTTGAAACATTTTGATTTATAAAAATGAAATTTAACACGAATGGAAGTGGAATTACAACACTACGATAATTTATGTATGATTCAACTAACAAATTCTTCAAAAATCGGTAGATTTTTGATAACTGACAACACCGCCGCGATTTTCGATTTCATAGTGTCGGGTTGTCAGTTTTAAATTTCTCAATGTTTCCATTTTTCATCTTTGAATTTTTCAATTTTTATTTTTTGATTTGTCGATTTTTTGGTTCTTCAATAATAATTTGTCCATTTTTCGGTTTTTCAGTTTTCAAATACTTAATTTTTTTATTTTTTTGACTTTGGAAATGTTGAAATTTTGTCTTGAATTTTGTGTTTTTGCAACCTTTTAAATTTCACTTTTTCGGTTTTCCAAATGTCATTATTTTTTCGATTTGCTATTTAGGCGTTTTCCTTTTAAATGTTTTGATTTTTCGACTTTGAATTTTTCAATTTTTTGTTTCTTGAATTCCTCTATATTAAATTTTCACTTTTTCAGTTTCACGATTTTTAATTTTTTGATTTATCAGTTTTGAATATTAATTTTTCGATTTGTTTTTTTTTTATATTGCTCAAATTCTCCAATGAAGGCATGCGTTTGTACCTAAACTTTTTCAGGATCACATATTTTGCCAATTTTTTTTATGGGTGCTCAAATCTAGGAGAAATGAATTTTTGTGTTGGCGCCTACACCAATTTTTCAAAAATTTGAAAGTTGCTCAAAAATTATTCCGGAAAAGGTTCCATCCGAACCAAATTTTCTCACGATCACGAATCTATCATTATTTTTTCTGTAGATCTTCTAATAAGGGAGTAATTACAGTTTATTCTAGCGCCTCTGTTAAAAATTTCAATACATCTTTTGTGCAAGTAACAAAGAAAAATGTTTTTCATAAAAATTAAAAAAAAACTAGTACAGTAAAAGTTACAGTATTATTTGGTAATATGACAGTTAAAGAACTAAGACAAAATTTGGAATAGTTTTTGAAATATGACGTGATAAAAAAAAAGACAATTTTAGAATGATAAAATTTGCAGAAAAAATTCAATTTACGGTAATTTATGTATGATTCGAGTACCAAGTTCTTCAAAAATCGGTAGATTTCCGATAACTGACAACACCGCTGCGATTTTTTCGGTTTCATATTGTACAGTTTTCAGTTACAAATTTCTCAATATCTCGATTTTTTAAAATTTTTCAATATTTAATTTTTCGATTTGTCAATTTTTCGATTCTTCAATTGGTCGTTTCTAATTTTTTGTTTTTTCAGTCTTCAATTTTTTGATTTTTTGACTTTCGAAATGTTCAATGTTTTTCATAAATTGTGTGATTTTAGGAGTTTTCGAATTTTTTTATTTTTAACTTCTAAAATTTCACTTTTTCGGTTTTTTAAAATGTCATCATTTTTCGATTTGCAATTTTCGCGTTTTCCTTTTACAATTTTTTAATGTTTTATTCCTTGAATTTTTCTATATTAAATTTTTCAGTTTTTCAGTTTCTCGATTTTTAATTTTTCGATTTACATTACGCGAGTATTTAGTTTTAAATATAAGTTATTCGATTTTTTATTTTTCTTATATTTTCCCAAAATTTGAAAGTTTTCTTAATTCTCTCACCAAAGCATGCGTCTGTACCTAAACTTTCTCAGGATTACAAATTTTTCAAATTTTTCTTGTGGGTGCTCAAATCAGGGAGAAATAAATTTTCATTCTGGCGCCTCCACCATTTTTTTTACAAAATTTGCCTTAATTCTCACGAACCGAAATTTTCCCAGGATTACGAATCTGTATTTATTTTTGCTGTAGATCGTCAAATAAGGAAGAAATTAAAGTTTATTTTGACGCCTCCACCATTTTTTCACAAAATTTTGAAAATTGCCTTAATTCTGACGGAAAAGGTTCCATTCAAAAAATTCACATGTTAAAAATTCCAACACACCTTTTGTGGAAATAACAAAGAAATATTTTTTTTTATAAAAATAAAAAAAACGATTTAGTACAGTAAAGTTACAGTGTTAAAATCAGTATTTTTGGTTATATTACCATTAAAGAACTAAGACAACATTTTGAACAGTTTTTGAAATATGACATGATAAAAACCAAAAAACACAATTTTAGAATTATCAAAATTGAAGAAATAATTCGATTTATTTCGAAATTTTAATTTATAAAAATAAAATTTTAACACGAATAGAAACGGAATAACAAAACTTTACGCTAATTTATATATGATCAAGTTCTTCAGAAATCGGTAGATAAAATGATAAAAATAATATTTTTAATCTGTAGCCCTAAATGATTTCGGTCAAAAATTTTTATTTACTTAAATACTTGTTATTTGATAAAATAGATCGTCAGTTGTGGTCTACAATGACCAATAAATTAGCCTCAGGGGAATACTGATTAGTTGATTACATACATTTAATTTCAAAGAAGAATCTTATTTTCCAAATTTCTTAAAATCTAATTAACCACATATATTTTATCGATATAAATACCTACGAATTAGATTATCCAAAACATTGCTATGAATAAATAACAAAAAATAATATTTAAAAGCCACATTACACATTTTAGAGTTCAGATGAAAAACACCTCATTACTTACAATCACTTTTGATAATACAGAAATTACATCCCCGTTCTTAATTTCTAAACAACTACGACTTACCATTACATGTTCACTTTTTCCAAAACTTAAAAACGTTTGGTTAACAACAGCACCACAACATTTAGTCCATCTTAAAATAGCACTTCTTACTCAATTAACGCTGTTAAATAATAAAACACCTCGTTTATTAATAATTAATAATAATTTTCGGACGTACATCCAAACCATCACCCCATTGGTCGAAAACGCGACCACGCAAACCCTTTAAAAGGCAGACAGTTTTTAAAACTGCTCACTCTAGTGCAAGATTTTTCAGAAACCATGTCGGAAACCGTCAAATACGACTGGTTATCAATCATCAAAATAAACATCTGGAACTTCAAATTAGTGGGCTTATGGCCCGGCGACGAAGGGTACAAACTCGACTTTTACCTCCTGCGCAGCTCCATCATAGTGTTTGTTTTCGCCTTCATCCTAACTGGGGGTCAAACCTTGAAGCTTATGAACCACATGACCGACCTCGAAGTGGTAGCAAGAACAGCATACATGATAATTTCCTTCTGGCTGATGTTCGCGAAGATGTACTCCATCGCTCGCAACATCCAACCCCTTAGAAAGCTCCTGAGAAGCCTAAATGACGACATTTTTCAAGTTCGCACCCAAGAGCAAATTGACAATATATCTCCCAGTATTAGGATATGGAACATCACGTACATTTTAATCACCGCATGTATCGCTTCTTCTGTAACCTTCTGGGCTATTTTCTCGTTCAGCAACCGCAGATTGCCCTTCACTTCTTGGTATCCTTACAACACTACGGTTTCACCTATGTATGAAGTAACTTGTATTCACCAGCTTGCAAGCCTTTTTTTTCAAGCCTACGTCGTGGATATTAATATGGACACGTTTATAGCTGCTTTTAGTCTATATGCGGCAGTTCAGTTTGATATTTTGTGTGATAATGTGAAAAGATTAAAGCCCGAAGGATTCAGAGAGGGTTTGATTTCCTGTGTGAAGCATCACCGGGCAATTGTGAAGTATGTAACTGCAGGATTTACGATGATAATTGTTCTAACAAATTAGTTTTAGCTTCGTTAATTCGTATAACGAAATTTTTGACTCGATTATTCTGGGACAATTTCTGACTAGTGCGGCCTCTTTGGGGATAACCTTGTTTCTCATCGTTGGAGTAAGTTTTCACTTTGACTTATAATATTTTTCTAAAAGTTCTTACTAAAACCAGGTCCCTCCTTTGAGCAGCGAATTTCTATCATACATTTTCTACGAAAATGCGGTACTAACGGAGATTTTTATTTATTGTTGGTTCGGCAACGAGATCCAAATTAAGGTTTGTAAAACAACTAAGTCACACCCTCTATTTTTTCTCTTTTAGAGTAGCAACGTGTTTTTTGTGGCCTTCGAATCTCACTGGATAGAAGCATCCCTTGAAGCAAAACGCGACTTGATTTTTTTCATGGTGCGGACACAGACGAGTCTGAAAATTTCGGCGTTGAACTTGTTTGAACTGACTCTGGAGAATTTTTTAAGGGTGAGAGTTTACGCTATTAATTATAAGTATTGTATTGTAATCCGGCGATTTTTAGATTTTAAAAACGGCCTATTCTTACTTTGCTTTGGCGAGGAACTTCAAGAACTAAGAAAATTGTAGCAAAATTCACTGTAACTTTAGCATGTAAAAAATAAATTAGTCTGCAAAGTAGTTCAAGACTTTTATTACAACCTTTACTCGGTTTTTTGGTGGCAGACTTACATACAATAAAATAAAAATGTAATAAGTGGGTTAGCATTTAGCTCATTAAAATATAAATAACCCTTTGTCTATCACTGCGTTAATTAATGTTTATTTCAACTGTACAATTGCATGTGGCATTTTCTCACGAAAATAATTATCTTAGGCCTCAATTGAAAGAAAAACAGCGTATTAACAGGATTTTCCTTGATCGATAAAGGATGCTAATTAGAGGGTTCACCAAATTTAAGGAAAATGACGATCTTATAAATTTATAATTGGAAAATTGGTTATTTCTTTTAAAATAATATTTGTTTCTTGTGAGTGATTTAAAAATGAGGTAATTATTATTTCAGTGATGGGAAAATACGCTCTGGTCATTTTATCCATTCGTCATAATTTGTGCGTAATATTATAAGAAAAAATTAATTGTTGAAATTTGTATCCGTTTTTTTATTGTAAATTAGAAGTGCTTTTAAGATAGTGCTGTAAATGCTTATAGAAATATAGTTTTAAAATAAGTTTTTACATAAAAATTCAAAATTATGGACCCCCTAATTAGGAGCTTAAGTGCTGAAAACGTTAACAGTAAGTAATCAGACTGAGCTTTATACACGCTACTTTTACACATGTAGTTGTATCATATTTCACTGTTGAATTTTATGAAGTAAATATCTTTTTAATGAAAAAATTGTCCACCCTGAGGCTGTTGGTCTCTGAAAAATACAACAAAATAATGAAATTTGTAGCATTAAAGCATTATTCAAGAATCCACGTAGATCTTAGCTACTTGTACTTTAAAGTTCTTCTACCTGAAATGAACTTAATCGCAGTGGAAAATGTTGTTATTTAAAATAAACTCAAAATATGTGTCAATCCAAAATATTTCAAAAACTAGTTAAATTTATAAAGAAATATTACTCTATAGTAACTTGAAAATACTTATGTTTCAGACAACAATTGTATGGTTTCTTAGTTCATTTTCAACTTTTTGTATTTTGGCTTTCTCTGCAGAAAACATTTTTGACTTTTTATGATGTTCGAAATTCATATAGTACTGGAGATGTTTACCTAGTGTTAGTTTAGAAGTTGAAACAGAAGTGAGAATTTGTTACATTAGTTTCCTACAAAAAATTAACATTTGGACATTTTTAAACACTACAATTCCAATCGCAAATTTTTTTATGACTGGTTAAATCTCTCAGTAAAATTAGGAAATTTATTCTATTCTTCTTGTTAAGTTCCCAGAAACCAATAAAAATATTAGCTGTAAATTTATTCTGTCTATTATTGGAAACTTTTTTAAAAGCGAAATTTTTTCAATGGTCCCCCTTCTTCAAACATCGGAAAATTTTTGACATTTTCGAAACTTTACTAAATACATTTTCTTGTACATTTCGTGCTCTAGAACTCACTTTGGGCCTGATTTCTTTGATAACTACAACCGTTTTTCTAGAATCGACCATTGAACTATCGAAATTTTTTGGAAAATGTTGTTCCGTGACCATCAACACGCTATATTTTTGGAATCAACATATCGAGATCTACGACTCTGAATTTTTTCACAATTTTTAGTCAACTTTTTTAAAAGTGAAATTTTTTCTTCAAATTTCGGCCAATTTTTGACATTTTCGAAACCTAACTGAATACAAATTCTTCTAGATTTCGAGCTGTAGAACTCACTTCGGACCTCGTATCATTGATAACTGATTGAAATATAGAAATTTTTGAAAGTTTTAAGAATTTGCATTTCGTACCGATTCTTTCCAAAATGTTGCTTCGTGCCCATCAACATGCAACATGCAACAATTTTCGATCTACATCTCTGAATTTTTTAGTAATTTCTAGACAACTTTTTTAAAAGTAAACATTTTTCAATGGTCCTCCCTTCTTCAAATTTCGGAAAATTTTTGACAATTTCGAAACTTACCTAAATACACTTTCTTGTAGATTTCGAGAATTAGAACTCAATTCCGGCCTCGGTTCTTTGATAACTGCAACCATTTTTCCAGAATCGACCTTTGAAATATCGAAATATTTGATATATATTTTAAAAAATTTGCATTTTGTACCGATTTTTTTCGAAAATGTTGCTCCGTTACCATCAACATGCTATCTTTTTGGAATCAGCTTGTCGAGGTCTACGTCCCTAAACTTTTTCATAATTTTTAGACAGCTTTTTTTAAAAGTGAAATTTGTTCAAATTTTGGCGAATTTTTGACATTTTCGAAACGTAACTTAAACTTAACTAAATACACTTTCTTGTAGATTTCGAGCTCTGGAACTCAATTATGGCCTCGGTTCTTTGATGATGGCAACCGTTTTTCCAGAATCGACCGTTGAAATATAGATATTATTTAAATTTTCAAAAATTCGCATTTCGTACAGATTCTTTCAAAAATGTAGCTCCGTGACATGCTATATTTTTGGAATCAGCGTGTCGAGATATACGTCCCTGAATTTTTTCATAATTTTTATACAAATTTTTTAAAAATGAAAATATTTTAATGGTCCCACCTTTTGCAAAATTTGGAAAATTTTTGACATTTTTGAAACTTAACTAAACAGATTTGCTTGTAGATTTTGAGCTCTAGAACTCAATTCCGGAATTGATTCGTTTATAAATGCAACCGTTTTTCCAGAATCGACCGTTGAAATATCGAAATTTTTGAAATTTTAAAAAATTTGCACTTCGTACCGATTCTTACGAAAATGTTGCTCCGGAACCATGAACATGCTACATTTTTGGAATCAGCGTGTCGAGACGTACATCCATGAATTTTTTAGTAATTTTTGGACAACATTTTCAAAAGTGAAATTTTTTCAATGGTCTCCCCTTCTTCAAATTTCGATAAATTTTTCACAATTTCGAAACATAACTAAATACATTTTCTTGTAGATTTCGAGCTCTAGAACTCAATTCCGGCCTCATTTCTTTGATAACTGCTGCCGTTTTTCCTGAATCGACCGTTGAAATATCGACATTTTTGAAATTTTCAAAAATTTGCATTTCGTACCGATTCTCTCGAAAATATTGCTCCGTGACCATCGACGCGCAATATTTTTGGAATCAGCGTGTCGAGATCTACGTCCTTGAATTTTTCCAGAATTTTTTGATAATTTTTATAAAGTGAAATTTTTTGAATGGTCTTCAAATTTCGTCCAATTTTTGACATTTTCGAATGCTAACTGAATCTCTCTTGTAGGTTTAGCGCTCTAGAACTCTCATTTTTGAAATTTAACACAATACATTTTCTTGCCGATTTCGAACTCTAGAGCTTACATCCAGCTTGTTTCTTTGTTATCTGGAACCGTTTTTCTAGAATCGACCTTTGAAATATCGTAATATGTATTTAGAAATGATCAAAAAATCAAATTTCGTAGTGAGAAATCCAAACACCTAGAATCTTAAAAATTGAAAATTTAAAACAGTCGAATAATTGAAAAATCTAAGGTTTAACGAAAAACTGAAAATTCAAAAAGGAAACAATCGAAAATTCGAAAATTCGAAATATTGAAAAATCCCAAAACTGAAATAAAAATCCAAAAAATTGAGAACTTAAACAATTGAAAAACTGAGAAATGACAAAACTGAAACAGCAAAGTCGTCAAAAAATTGTAAGCTTAAAAAATATAAAAATTTAAAAAACAAAAACCTGAAAAATTGAAGAACTGAAGAAGTGAATGATCTAAACCTTGGGGAGTCGACAAATGGGAAAATAAAAAGAAAGATTACTTCAGAATTCGGAAAACTGAAAATCTAGAAATGTCAAAATTTGAAAAATTGAAAAATCTAAATATGTATTTAAAAATCGTAAAAATGAAGATGACAAAACTTGAGAAAACGTATCTATGAAACATCAGAAAATTGTAAAATCGAGTAATAAAAAAATAATCTGACCGTTGTGAAATTTTACACGAATTTCGAGAACATCTATGTTTGTGTGATCGTACGAGTACTTAGCGACAATGTGATGACCTAATTTCAAAATTTTACATAGTTAATCTTATAACACTTTTAAATTTTATCAAATGACATTCTTCCATACCTGTGCCTTATGAATCCACCTTTATTTTTACTTTAGACGTCCAAATTTTTGGGGAAAAAGTCAACGTGCAGAACTAAATTTTCTGAAATCTTGCAAAAGTTTTAAGGTTGTCGTCAGCATGGTAAATTTGTCTTCATTTTAGTGCATCATTGCAATTAACTTTCTTATAAAATTTGTTATATTACTTGCGAAATGACAATTAACACAGCCAGAGTTTCTTCACGTTTCAAGAATTACTATTTATTTTGCAATTATTTGTACCCAAATAACATAATTTATTGCAAAAATTAATATAAAACGACTTACATATTAGACGTGATACGTCCACCGTTTCCAAAATTTAAAAACGTTATGTGATTAAAAGCACTACAATATTTAGACCCCCTTAAAATACCACTTTGAATTCAGTCGACGTTATTAAATAATAATAGGCCCGCTTTATAAATAATTAATTTTTATTTTTGGGCGCACCGTAAAACCCATCTCCATTGGTTGAACACGTCACTCCACAAAACCTATAAAAGACACAGAACTTTCAAAAAACACCCACTCTTGTAGACACTTTTTCAGAGCAGAAAATCATGACCAACACTATTAAATACGACTGGTTATCCGTCATCAAACGAAACATTTTTGCTTTCAGATTAGCGGGTTTGTGGCCAAGCGACGAAGGATACAAATTCGACTTTTACCTTCTGCGCACCGTCATCATCCTGTTCATTTTTGGCTTGGTCCAAACTGCGTCTCAAACCTTCATGCTTTTAACCAACTTCACCGACATGCAAGTAGTAGCAAGAACGACGTTCTTGATAATTTCCCTCTGGTTGATGTTGCTCAAGCTCTTCTCCATCGCTCGCAACATCCAAACCCTTAGAAAACTGCTGGCAACGCTAAACGAAGACATGTTTCAAGTCCGCACCAAAGAGCAAATTGAAAATATAATTCCTAGTGTCAAGAGGTGGAAATTTATGCACAATGTAATCAGTGGGAGTATTGTTTGTTCTGTGATTTTCTGGACTGTGGAGTCATTCAGGACACGCAAATTGCCGTTCGTTTCTTGGTATCCTTACAATACTACGGGGTCACCTCAGTTTGAATTGACTTGTTTTCACCAGCTTTCAAGTATGTCTTTTGGGGCGTATCTTGATATCAATATGGATACGTTTATAGCCGCTTTTAGTCTATATGCGGCAGCGCAGTTTGATATTTTGTGTGATAATGTGAAAAATTTGAAGCCTGAGGGGTTCAAGGAGGGATTGGTGGCCTATGTGAAGCATCATCGGGCAATTGTGAAGTATGTAACTTGAACGTCCCTCTTTTAGCAGCATTTTTTAACAAATTAGTTTCAGTTTCGTTAAATCGTATAACCAAACTTTTGACTCGATTATTCTGGTGCAATTTTTCACAAGTGCTGCATCTTTGGGAATAACTATGTTTCTAGTGGTTGGAGTAAGTTTTCGTCGGTTTGTAATTATTTTTCTAACCATTTCTACCAAACCAGGTACCTACTTTCAGTAATGAATATTTTTCATTTCTGTTCTATGCAAACGCAGTAATTACGGAAATATTTATTTATTGTTGGTTTGGCAACGAGCTCCTAACGAAGGTACGAGTATGTAAAACAATTTTATTATTGAAATCGCGTTCTTAATTTTTGCCATTTAGAGCAGCAAGGTGTTTGTTGTGGCCTTCGAATCTCATTGGATAGAAGCATCTTCTCAAGGAAAACACGACTTGCTTTTCTTCATGAGAAGAACACAAATAAGCTTGAAACTTTCAGCTCTAAATTTGTTTGACTTAACTCTGGAGAATTTTTTAAGAGTGAGTGTTTGTTCTGAGAGCTACAATTTTTTTAATTTCGTGAATTTTAGATTATAAAAACGGCCTATACTTACTTTGCTTTGGTGAGTCGCTACGACAAGTAAGAAAATCACTACAAATAAATTCTCATTCTTCAAATTGGTGAAACATGTTTAGTAAATAACCTCATTAAAAAATAAATAGTTCTGTACCTATACCAGTGTTAAATTACGTTTAAAAAGTCAAACTTTGTTCAATTTTATTGGAAATGTAGAAGTACATCTGGTGCTTTCGCACGAAAATAATTACCTTAAGCTGCAACTGGAAGAAAAATATTATTAGGAGGATGTTCTTTAATGAATAAGGGTACTAATTAGAGGGTTCCGCAGTTTAAGGCTAATTACGCTCTTATTAATTTATAGTTGTTTATAATTGGAAGGTTGGTTATTTTATTAAAAAAAAATGTAATTACAAAATGACATGATTATTATTTCAATACAGAAAAAATACACTTTGATTATTATTTGTTCGTCATAGTTTCTGCGTTACACAAGTAAAGTAAGTGTTTTCGAGATAGTACAATTTTATTAAAATATACTTTAACAATTTTTACATCGATTTCCATAAACGAAACTATTTATTCTTCAAGAATTTAACAACTAATTTGATTTTGTTATATTTTAAGCGAAATTGATTAAATTGGTCCCGGCGCATCGACCAATTTTATTTCTAATTCTCAGGATTTAGAATGTGCTATTTTTGTGAAGGGATTAGATAAATATATGTAAACTGTTTTTACACAAATACAATGTAATCAACTTCTTAAATAAAATTGTTTTTGAAAATAAAACCGAAGCAAATTTTCGAATTATTGAATTGTTAATTTTTCAAAAAAAATCTCATTTAAAACATTTAATGCGGTATCTGTCTGAATATTTATTTTTCACCTAACAATGATATGCTTCTAGCCCAGTTTCAGCTTCTTCTAATTTACCTTTATTTGTAGAAGACACTTTCAATTGTGAATTGGTATATTTTCAATTTTTTTTCTTTCGGCTTGGTGCTTTAGTAAATCGATCTAGTGTCAGGAAATAAAGTTCATTTGATTGTCTTTATTGGTATGTCATATGTTTTTATTTATTTATTTTTAGTTCAACAAGTCTATCAAAAATTGTGACACAATGATAAAAATGTTTGATTTAAAAAATATCTAATTCTGTCTAATATAGAAAGTTATTTTTTTGTAGGAAACAAGTTCCAAATAAAAAAATTGTCACAATTAAAATTGTTGTCATTTTTCAATTACTACACAACATATATGGAATTTTAATGTTGAAATAGCAACCGCCATAGATGTAAATATATACTTCAAATTTTTCCCAGTGTAAATTAATGCACCCGGACATGTTATCTCAATGGAAAATTGTTTCTAAAAAAAAATCTTAACACTTGAGCCATCTATCTTCTGGTATATTTACTATTTTTACTTCACACTGTTTTCGATTGTGTCTGAAAAAAATTAACATGTTTCATCAAACATCGTTCAGAGATTTTAAAGGTTGCGGAATTAATAATACATTAATTTTTCTGTTTTTATTTTTTTTTTTCGACCACATTACTTTCAGCAATGTTTTAGGTTTTTTGAAAATTTGCAACCTGAGATTTTCATGTTCTTTTGGTATTGTAATGAAGAAGAAATAAAAGTTTTCGAACTGTTACTTCCATGTTTTCTTTATTATTAAATATAAGTGGATGCGGCATTACTGTATTATTTCATTTTCGAGACAATGGAGTGAAGCATTACGCTGGGTTAAACAGTAACAAAATATTATAATAATTATAAACAAAATCAAGGTAAATTGGTAATCCATAAGTATAGGAGTGTAAGACGTTTGATATTTAAGGCTTCAATACAAATCTATTTTTGAGGATAATCACATTCCTACACATGTAGTTTATGACTCCGAATTGAGTTTATACCAGAAACGTCCAGATTTTTGGAAAAAAAGTCAAAATTATGAAACAATATTTTGCAATTTAATTTTAAATCTGCAAAACCGAATGCTTTGAAAGCTTGCAGATGGTTTACACTTATGACAAACACGACAAATTTTTAATCAAAATATATTTACTTATCCCCTCCAAAAAATTGATGACGTCAGCTCAAAAGTTTGCCGAATAAATCCTATCTAAAATGTGCAAAATATGATGAGTCTGTACTTGTTATTTATCATTCCGCTCATATTTTTTAGATTTGCATATACAGGTGACTCAAAAAAATTAATGGATGCGTGAATTTATTTTATTGATTTAATCAGGAACTACAAAACCGAATGCTTTGAAATCTTGGAGATGTTTTAAAGTTGTCATAGGCATGATAAATTTATACTCAAAATGCATTTGCTAATCCCCCCCCTAAAAAATTGATGACGTCACCTCAAAATTTTGCTGAATAAATCCTACCTAAAATGTGCAAAATATGATGAGTCCGTAGCTGTGATTTCTCATTCCATTAATATTTTTTAGATTTGCATATACAGGGTGACTCAAAAAAATTAATGAAAGTGTGAATTTATTTTATTGATTTAATCAGGAACTACGAAACCGAATGCTTTGAAATCTTGGAGATGTTTTAAAGTTGTCATAGGCATGATAAATTTATAGTCAAAATGCATTTGCTAATCCCCCCCTAAAAAATTGATGACGTCACCTCAAAATTTTGCTGAATAAATCCTGCCTAAAATGTGCAAAATATGATGAGTCTGTAGCTGTGATTTCTCATTCCATTAATATTTTTTGGATTTGCATATACAGGGTGACTCAAAAAAATTAATGAAAGTGTGAATTTATTTTATTGATTTAATCAGGAACTACAAAACCGAATACTTTGAAATCTTGGAGATGTTTTAAATTTATCATAAATGGTAAAATTTTGATCGAAATGTATTTGCTCATCCCCCCCTAAAAATTTGATAACGCCACCGCAAAATTTTGCTGAAAAAATGGTTAAATGTGTAAAGAATGATGAGTCTATGCTTGTGATTTATCACTGCATTAATATTTTTTAGATTTGCTTATACGGGGTGTCTGAAAAAAATTAATGACTGAGTCAATTAATTTTATTGACTAAACCAAGAATTACAAAAATGTAAAACGAAAAACGGCATAATAGGCTTGCAATCGTCACATCCCCGACAGCGAGGGAAGTCTAAACTCATAAGAACAATTTTTTTATTTAATGTTAACGAAATTTTTTATAACAAATACTTACAGTAAATACAGTATCCCAATTATTTAAGGAAATTTCGGAACGCGATTTTCAACACTGTTTTCAGCTTACAAAACTCCAACAATGCTACAAAATATGTAGTCAACTTTTTTGCTAGAAACAAGATAGAGTAAAAAAAACTTGTGTCGTAGAAACTGCTAAACGCTTCTTTTTATTAATTATTAATTATTTACAATTTCTAAAGTTTTGTTAGCTAAAATCAAGGGTGGTAACCGCGTTCCAAAATGTCCATAAGTAATTGAAATTTTGATTTTTGAAATATGTGATGCAAAAATTACAACAAAATTTAAAATATTTATTATAATAAACTGTTTAAAAAAACTCCCCTCAGATTATATAGTGAAAGTTATGGACAGGTTACATTTAAAATTTCATAACAATAAGTATGGTAATAATCGAGACATTATACTCTGAAGATGTATTGAGAACACCATAAGTGACAAACGTAGCGACTCCTCTTAAATCAATTTACTACCCCCAAAATAATGTTCATTAAAAAGAAATCAAGAAAATAAACAAACAGCTAGGCCGATTTTTAGGAACACGGACAATTTTTGATATGATATTGTGTTCTAGGGGTACGTCACAACTGCATTTGTAAAGCTATTAAATGTACACATGTTTTTTAAGACTAAGTTCACGCTCAAGGCTCATAAAAATATGTTTAAGTCTTCAAAACTAAAATAAATTTTCCAAATTTATCGATAGTCCTTTATCCAGAAGAATGATTATTTTTATTAGAGAATGATGTTTTCTTGTATCACATAATAAAAGTCTTTTGAATTTCATAACGCCAAATGATAAGACTGATTTTGCCAAATGACATATCCTCTAATGAAAATAAAAGACAGGTGGGGCTAGTATTTGCCAAAATTAAAACTGATCTTGGCAAATGACCTACTCTCCAAGAAAATAAAGGACGAGTGGTCGGGTCTAGCACGAGCTAAAATTGGATTGATTTTGCCAAATGACATATCCTCTAAAAAAATAAGGGCGGGTGGGTGGGGCTAATACTTGCCGAGATAAGACTGATTTTGGCAGATGATCTGCTCTTCCAAGAAAATAAAGGGCGGGTGGGCGGGGCTAGTATTTGCCAAAATAAAACTGATCTTGGCAAATGACCTACTCTTTAAGAAAATAAAGGACGAATGGTGGAATTAAACTGATTTTAGCTTAAATTTGGAAATTTATTTGGAAAATAACAGTAAAGAAATGAATATGGTGTTTTCTTTTTTTAAGAATTAACAAGTTTGTTGCGAAAATCTATTAAAAAAAAAAATTATATTTACCTTAATATTACACTACAATTATTACATGACTCACGTGTTACATGCTACACGTCCACCTTTCCCAAACCTTAAAAACGTTATTTTATTTAGTGCACTACAATATTTAGGCCACCTTAAAATACCACTTCCAACTCAGTCAACATTATTAAGTAATAATACGCCCCTTATAAATAATTAATTATAATTCTTGGGGCACAGTCAAACCCATCCACTTCATTGGTTCAAAACCTCACCACACGAAACCTATAAAGATACAAAAATTTAAAAAAAACACTCACTCTTGTTGAAGCTTTTTCAGAGCTTTTTACCATGACCAACACCGTCGAATACGACTGGTTATCAATCATCCAACGAAACATCTTTGCTTTCAGATTAGCGGGTTTGTGGCCCAGCGACGAAGGATACAAATTCGACTTTTACCTTCTGCGCAGCATCATCATCCTGTTCGTTTTTGGCTTCGTCCAAACTGCATGCCAAACCTTCAAGCTTGTGACCAACATAACCGACATGCAAGTGGTGGCAAGAACCGCATTCTTGATAATTTCCTTCTGGTTGATGTTGATGAAGCTGTCGTCGATCGCTCGCAACATCCAGACGCTTAGAAAACTCCTGGCGACTCTAAAGGACGATATGTTTCAAGTCCGCACCAAAGAACAAATTGATAATATAATTCCCAGTGTTAAGACGTGGAAATTCATGCACAATGCTCTCAGCGGAAGTATGGTTTTTATGGTGATTTTTTCGGCTGTCGACGCATTGAGAAAACGCACATTGCCGTTCGTGTCTTGGTATCCTTACAACACTACGGGGTCGCCTCAGTTTGAATTGACTTGTTTTCACCAGCTTTCGAGTATTTCGTTTGGAGCGTACATTGATATAAATATGGATACTTTTATAGCTGCTTTTAGTCTATATGCTGCAACTCAGTTTGATATTTTGTGTGATAATGTGAAAAATTTGCAGCCGGAAGCATTCAAAGAGGGTTTAGTAGCCTGTGTGAAACATCATCGAGCAATTGTGAAGTATATAACTCGAACGTCCCTCGTATAGCAGCATTTTTTGACAAGTTAGTTTCAGTTTCGTCAAATCGTACAACCAAACTTTTGACTCGATTATTCTGGTGCAATTTTTCACAAGTGCTGCGTCTTTAGGAATAACTATGTTTCTTGTAGTTGGAGTAAGTTTTCGTCGATTTGTAATTATTTTTCTAACAATTTCTACCCAAACCAGGTACCGCCTTTCACTAATGAATATTTTTCGTTTATTTTCTATGCAAACGCAGTAATAATGGAGATATTTATTTATTGTTGGTTTGGCAACGAGCTCCTAATGAAGGTATTTAAAACAACTAACAAAGTGTCATCCTTTATTTTTCTTATTTAGAGCAGTAAGGTGTTTGTTGTGGCCTTCGAATCTCACTGGATACAAGCTTCTTCGGCAGCAAAACACGACTTACTTTTCTTCATGGTGAGGAGTCAGACGTGTCTGAAACTTTCAGCGTTAAATTTGTTCGACTTGACTTTGGAGAATTTTTTAAGAGTGAGTGTTTGTTCTGACAGTTACAAATTTTCAGTTAAGTGATTTTTAGATTATAAAAACGGCCTACACTTACTTTGCTTTGGTGAGTCGCTACGACAAGTAGGAAAATTATAACAAAAATATGTTCACTGTTGTTTTAAAATGTTAAAAATAAACTAATGAATGAACTGATATTTAATTTTTTCAAAGCCCCCATTAACTAACTACAATAAAAATCTAATAAATGGGTTAGCAGCTTATTAAATAATAAATAAAGCTTTGCCTATAACAGGGTTAATTAATGTTTAAGAAATCAAACCTGGTCCAATTTTATTAGAACTGTGGAAGTCCATGTGGCATTTTCTCACGAAAATAATTATCTTAAGCCACAAGTGGACGAAAAATATTGTATTAAGAGGATGTCCCTTAATGAATAAAAGATACTAATTAGAGGGTTCACCAAGTTTAAGGAAAATTAAGCTCTTATTAATTTATAATTGGAAGGTTGGTTATTTTGTTTAAAAAAATATTTCATCTCTCGTGGGTGATTAAAGAATGAGATGATTATTATTTCAGTGGAAGCTAAATACACTGTGGTTATTTTTCCCTTATATATTGCGCGTAATATGAAGAAAATCATTTATAAAAAATTTATTGTTTTTGTTTTTGGTAAACTGTAGGTGTTTTCGAGAGAGTAGAGATTTATAACATATAATTTCAGAGTTTCAACCAAAATTATGTGAGTTGATGATAATACTGTTTACAATATTAATATTGTATCACTAATTTTGCAACCAAATTAAACTTTTTTCACCGAAATCAATAATGTTACAAACGATCAGATAGATTTTCACGTTGCATAAAATGTGATCATTTTATTTAAAATTTATTTAGAAAATTTGCCCCAGGGCATCAACCATTTTTATCTCTAATTCTCAGGATAAAAAAATGATTCAAATCTTCAAATCAAGTGTAACGAACTTGTTAAATAAAATCGCATTATTAAAGATGAAACAGGAGAAATTTGTAGAATTGAATTTTTAATTTTTCAAATAAAAAAAAAACTCATTCAATGTAGCCTCTAGAGAGATATTCGTTTCGACTAACAATGCTATCCCAACCGAAATTTTCTCGGGATTACGAATCTACGTTTAATTTTCCTATAGATCTCTATATAATAGAAAAATTACATTTTATTCCAACGCCTCTTATGATTGATTCTCAAAATTTGAAATTGCTCAAATTCTCCGGAAAATGTTGAAACAGAACCTAAATTTTCTCGGGATCAAAAATCTGTCTTATGTTTTCCGTAGATCCTCAAGCAAGGGAGAAATGAATTTTTATTGTGGCGCCTCCACCATTTTTCCATAAAATTTGAAAGTTGCTCAAATTTTCACAGACAAAGCACTAGTGGAACCGAAATTTTATAGAGATCTTGAAACAGCTTTTATTTTTCTTGTAGCTCTTCAAATACGGGAGAATTTAAATATTATTGTGGCGCCTCCACCATTTTTTACCAAATTTGAAACTTGTTCAAGTTCTCCCGGCAGATATTCTATCCGAACCGAAATTTTGTCGGGAACACGAATCTGTATTTAATTTTCGTGTGTGTCTTCAAATAAGGCAGAAATTAAATTTTATTGTGGTACCTCCACCATTTTTTCATTAAATTTGGAAGTTCCTCAGATTTTCCCGAAGGTTTTAGACGAATCAAAATTTTGTCGGAATCATGAGTCAGTCATTCATTTTCCTTAATTAAAGGAGAAATTAAATATTATTGCAGCGCCTCCACCATTGTTTAAACAAATTTGAAAGTTGCTCAAATTCTCCTGGAAAAGTTATTTATCCGAACCGAAATTTTCTCGAGAACTAGAATCTGCCCTTATTTTTCCTGTAAGTCCTCAAATAAGGAGAAATAAAATTTTATTTTGGCGCCTCCACCATTATTTCACTAAATTTTAAGGTTGCACATATTTTCCCGGAAAAGGTTCTAGCCGAACCGAAATTGTGTCAGGATCACAAATCTGCCTTTATTTTTCCCGTATGTCTTCAAATAAAAGAGAAACTAAATTTTATTTTGGCGCCTTAATCATTTTTTCACCAAAATTGAAAGTTGCCCTAATTCTACCGGAAAAGATGTTATCCGATCTAAAATTTTGTCCAGAACACATATCTGCCTTTATTGTTCCTATGTGTACTCAAATAAGGTAGAAGTTAAATTTTATTGCGCCGCCTCCAACATTTTTTAAACAAATTCAAAAGTTGCTCGAATTCTCCTGGAAAAGTATTTATCCGAACCGAAATTTTCTCGAGAACCAGAAACTGCCCTTATTTTTCCTTTAGGTCCTCAAATAAGGGAGAAATAAAATTTTATTTTGGCGCCTCCACCATTTTTTTAATAAATTTGGAAGTTGCTAAAATTGTCCCGGATAAGATTCTATCCAAACTGAAATTTTTTCGAGATTACGAATTTGCTCTTATTTTTCCTTTAAGTGGCCAAATAAGGGATAAATTAAATCTTATTGTGGCACCTCCACCACTTTTTCACTGAATTTTAAGGTTGCACATATTTTCCCCAAAAAGTTTCTAGCCGAACCGAAATTTTATCGGGACCACAAATCTGCCTTTATTTTTCCCGTAGGTCTTCAAGTACTTAAAAGAAAAATTAAATTTCGTTTTGGCGCCTCAATCATTTTTTCACCAAAATTGAAAGTTGCCCTAATTTTACTGGAAAAGATGTTATCCGATCTAAAATTTTGTCGAGAACACGTATCTGCTTTTATTGTTCCTATGGGTGCTCAAATAAGGAAGAAATTAAATTTTATTGCGGCGCTTCCACCATTTTTAAACAAATTCGAAAGTTTCTCAAATTCTCCTGGAAAAGTATTTATCCGAACCGAAATTTTCTCGAGAACAAGAATCTGTCTTAATTTTTCCTGCTGGTCCTCAAATAAGGTAGAAATTAAATTTTACTGTGGTGCTTCCACCAATTTTTTTTATTAATTTTGAAAGATGCTAAAATTCTCAAGGAAAAGGTTCTATGCAAACCGAAATTTTATCGGGATCACGAATTTTGCCTTATGTTTCCTTTGGGTGGTCAAATAGGGGAGAAATTAACTTTCATTCTGGCATCTCCAACATTTTTTTACTAAATTTGAAAGTTGCACATATTTTCCCAAAAAATGTACTAGCCGAACCGAAATTTTATCGGGATCACAAATCTGCCTTTATTTTTCCCGTAGGTCTTCAAGTAAAAGAGAAATTAAATTTTATTTTGGCGCCTCCATAATTTTTTCGCCAAAATTGAAAGTTACTCTATTTCTACCGGAAAATATGTTATCCGATCTAAAATTTTGTCGAGAACACGTATCTGCCTTTATTGTTCCTAAGGGTACTCAAATAAGGGAGAAATTAAATTTTATTGCGGCGCCTCAACAAATTTTTTAATCAAATTCGAAAGTTGCTCAAATTCTCCTGGAAAGGTATTTACCCGAGCCGAAAGTTTCTCGAGAACAAGAATCTGCCTTCATTTTTCCTGTATGTTTTCAAATAAGGTAAAAATTAAATTTTATTTTGGCGCCTCCGCCATTTTTTCATGAAATTTGAAACTTGCATATATTTTCACAGAAAAAATACTATCCGAACCGAAATTCATTGAGATCTCGAATCTGTCTTTATTTTTCTAGCTAGTCCTCAAATAAGGTAGAAATTAAATTTTATTGTGGCGCCTCCACCAATTTTTTTTATTAATTTTGAAAGTTGCTAAAATTCTCCCGGAAAGGGTTCTATACAAACCGAAATTTTCCCGGGATCAGGAATTTTTCCTTATTTTTCTTTTGGGTGGTCAAATAAGGGAGAAATTAACTTTCTCTCTGGCATCTCCAACATTTTTTTACTAAATTTGAAAGTTGTACATATTTCCCCAAAGAAGGTTCTAGCCGAACCGAAATTTTATCGAGATCACAGATCTGCCTTTATTTTTACTGTAGGTCTTCAAATAAAAGAGAAATTAAATTTTATTTTGCCGCCTCCATCATTTTCTTACCGAAATTGAAAGTTGCCCTAATTCTACCGGAAAAATGTTATCCGATCTAAAATTTTGTCGAGAACACGTATCTGCCTTTATTTTTCCTATGGGTACTCAAATAAGGGAGAAATTAAATTTTATTGCTGCGCCTCCACCATTTTTTAAACAAATTCGGAAGTTGCTCAAATTCCCCTGGAAAGGTATTTATCCGAACCGAAGTTTTCTCGAGAACAAGAATCTGTATTCATTTTTCCTGTAGGTTTTCAAATAAGGTGTGAAAATAAATTTTATTTTGACGCCTCCACCATTTTTTCATCAAATTTGAAAATTGCAAAAATTTTCACAGAAAAAATACTATACGAACTGAAATTCATGGAGATCTCGAATCTGTCTTTGTTTTTCCTGCTGGTCCTCAAACGCGGTGGAAATTAAATTTTATTGTAGCGCCTCCACCAATTTTTTTTATTAATTTTGAAAGTTGCTAAAATTCTCCCGGAAAAGGTTCTATGCAAACCGAAATTTTCTCGGGATCACGAATTTTCCCTTATTTTTCCTTTGGGGGGTCAAATAAGGGAGAAATTAACATTCATTCTGGCATCTCCAGCATTTTTTTACTAAATTTGAAAATTGCACATATTTGCCCGAACCGAAATTTTATCGAAATCACGAATTTGCGCTTCTTTTTCCTGTAGGTTCTCAAGAAAGAGAAATTAAATTTTATTGCGGTGCCTCCCTCATTTTTTCACCACATTTGAAAGTTGCTTAAATTTTCCCGGAAAAATTATTATCCAAACCGAAATTTTTTCGAGATCACTAATATGCCTTTATTTTTCCTGTAGGTCCTCAAATAAGGGAAAATTATATTTTATTTTGGTGCCTCCACCGTTTTTCATCGAATTTGAAAGTTGCTCAAATTTTCACAGAAAAAGTAATCTCCGAACCGAAATTTGATAAAAATCTCGAATCTGCCTTTATTTTTCCTGTAGGTCTTCAAATAAGATATTAAGTAAATTTTATTGGGGCGCCTCCACCAATTTTTCATCAAATTTGAAAGTTGCTCCGATTTTCCCAAACCAAAATTTTGTCCGGATCGCAAATCTGCATTTATTTTTCCTGTAGGTCCTCAAATAAGGGAGTACTTAAATTTTATTTTGACGTCTCCACTATTTTTTCTCCAAATTTGAAAGTTGCTCAAATTCTCCCGATAAAGTGGGATTTATAAACTTGCTGTTGATGTTGATAGTAACTTTGACGTTCAACTTTCGCCGTATTTAAAAGGGTTATAGAAGAAAAATAGAGGATTTAAGTTGATTCCCATTTTAGACATTTTTTAAGTTTCTTGTTGCGGAAATAAATCTACACTTATTCAAAAAACAAAGGCAAAATGTAGCCCCGCCCACCCGCCCTATCTCAATTGTGATGATTTTTTTATTCGTCGTGAGGCAAAGGGGTGGAGCTTAACTCCAAATCCTTATTTCTTTACGAGAAATTAAAAACATGTTTTTGAGTATCGTGTTGGTTAAAAATTTAAAATTTACTATTTTAAATGTATTTCTAATAATAAAAAAAATATCACAATTGAGAAAGGGCGGATGGGTGGGGTTTATATTTTGTTTTTTTTTTTTTTTTCTTAATGTACATAGTATTCTTTGAACAACACGATACTCAAAAACATGTTATTAATTTCTTGTAAAGTACTTAAGTATTTTGCAGTAAAGCCCTGCTCCCTTGGTTCCCGGGGAAAAAAAATCATCACAATTGAGGTAGGGCGGGTGGGCGGCCTACATTTTGCCTTTTTGTTTTAATATGTGTAGACATCTTTTCGCAACATGAAACATAAAGTATGTTTAAAATGGAAAATTTGTATAAGGAAATATCGAAAAATTAGGCTCCGCCCCATAATTGCAAAATCCATATTTCCTTGCAAAAGTGTACCATTTTAACCATGTTTTAAGTTTCTTGTTGTGAAAAGATGGCTATGTATATTAAGCAAAAAAAGACAAAATATAAGCCCCGCCCACCCACCCTATCTCAATTGTAATGATTTGTTTTATTCGTCGCAATCCGAGGGGCGGGTCTTAATTATTAAATCCTTATTTTTCTACGAGAAATTACCATGTGAAATATGTTCTTAAGTAATCGTGTTATACAAGGAAAATTAAATGTATTAATTAAAGAAGAAAACCAAAAAAGAAGCCCCGCCCCTCCATTTCGATCTCATTGTAATAGAAATAAATAATATCAGTTATTTGTATTATGTGTTAGAAACAACCATTCTGTAAATAAGTAAATTAGGTAAATCGCCTCAAGTTAAAAAATCAATAGGTCTGAAAAATGTTTGGAACACAGGCATAAGCAATTGAAAGCCCACTATTTTTAGACAGGAATAAATAATTATTGATTATTCTTTATAGAAAAAATTTTTTTTTTCTCTAGCTAGGAGCTTCAGAGAATACATATTTAAATATACTTGTACATTATTTATTAAAATTTTATGTTAAACATAGGAATGGGTTGTTAATAATTTAAAAATTGTTACAACAACTTTACATATTTTAATATGTGTCGCAAAATATTGTGCATAAGCTTACTGAATACAATGAATAAAACTATCACTCACGACAAATTTTGATAACACAAGTATATTCTCTATATTACTTATTAATATCTACAACTTACCAATGCAAGTTCACATTTTTCAAAATTTAATGGACCACAACATTTAGGCCACCTTAAAATAGCTCTTCTGGTTTAGTTAAGGTTATTAAATAATAATAAACCTCCATTATCAATAATTAATCCTGATTTTTGGACGCACAATCAAACCCATCCACCTCATTGGTTGAAAACCCCACCACTCAAAACCTATAAAAGCGACAAAATTTCAAAACCTTCACTCTAGTTCAAAATTGTCGACCACTTTTGCAGACAACCATGACCGACAGGGTCGAGTATGACTGGCTATCAATCATCAAACTTAACATTTTTGCCTTTAGAGCAGCCGGTCTATGGCCCAGTGCCGACGGCTACAAACCCAACTTTTACTTTCTGCGCAGCATCACCATCATATTCATTTTCGGCTTCATCCAAACCGCCTCTCAAACCTTCAAGCTTTTGACCAATTTAACCGACATGCAAGTAGTGGCAGGAACGGCCTTCATGGTTATTTCCTGCTGGCTGATGTTGATGAAGATGTTCTCCATAGCTAGCAACATCCAAACTCTGAGAAAACTGTTGACAACTCTGGATGACGAAATGTTTCAAGTCCTCAGCAACGAACAAATTGAAAATATAGCCCCTAGTGTTAAGACGTGGAAATTGGCGTACAACCTCATCAGTGGGAGTATCGCTTGTTCTGTAATTTTCTGGACCGTGGATTCGTTCAGGAGACGCAGATTGCCGTTCATTTCTTGGTATCCTTACAACACTACGGGTTCTCCTTTGTATGAAATTACTTGTGTTCACCAGCTTTCAAGTCTTTCTTTTGCAGCGTATATTAATATTAATATGGATACGTTTATAGCTGTTTTTAGTTTATATGCGGCTGCTCAGTTTGATATTTTGTGTGATAATTTGAAAAATTTGCAGCCCGAGGTGTTCAGGGAGGGTTTGGTGGTTTGTGTGAAGCATCACCGAGCAATTGTGAAGTACGTAAGACACATTTTGTGGCTCAAAAAGTCTAAAAAACACAATTTCAGTTTCGTTAAATCATACAATACAACTTTTGACTCGATTATTCTGGTGCAATTTTTCACAAGTGCGGCTTCTTTAGGGATAACCATGTTTCTTGTGGTTGGAGTAAGTTTTTGCCTCGATTTGTAATTTTTTGTAAAAATTTCACCTAAATCAGGTGCCGCCTCTCAGCAGCGACTTTTTTTCGTTCCTCTTCTACGCGAATGGAGTGATCATAGAAATTTTTATTTATTGTTGGTTTGGCAACGAGCTCCAAATCAAGGTTTGTAAAACAACCAAATTTCACAAACTATAATTTTTTCGTTTAGAGTGGCAACGTGTTTGTTGTGGCCTTCGAAAGTCATTGGACAGAAGCATCATCTGAAGCTAAACGCGACCTAATTTTCTTCATGTTAAGGACGCAGAAATTCCTGAAAATTTCAGCATTAAACTTGTTTGACCTGACTCTGGAGAATTTTCTAAGGGTGAGTGTTTATGGTGAACTTACAAGGGTTAATTGGGCGATTTTTAGATTTTAAAAACGGCTTATTCCTACTTTGCTTTGGTGAGTCGCTATGACAAGTAAGAAAATTAGAATAAACTCATCTCGCTGTAAATTTAACAAGTTAAAAAATAAACTAGTACGCAGTAATATAAGACTTTTCTTTCAAACATTGTTTCCATTTTTTTTAAGGCAGCAATGAAATGAAATAAAAATATAATAAGCAGTTTGGCTGCAGCTCATTAAAAACGAAAGAGTGATAATGAATGTTTAAGAAAACAGAATTGTAGCACTCCATGTGGTATTTTCTCACGAAAATAATTGTCTTAAGCCACGATTGAAAAAAGTGGATGTCGAGGAGTTACCTTAATGAATAAAGGATACTAATTAGAGGGTTTATCAAAATTAAAGATAATGACGCTCTTATTAATTTATAATTTGAAAAGTGGTTATTTCTTTGAAACAATATTTTTCAGTGCTGTGTTATTAAAAATGAGGTGATTATTATTTCAGTGATCGGAAAATACACTTTGGTTATTCATTTGTCCTAGTTTGAACGAATGAACGAAAAAAATATAATTTAACTGTGACAAATATGGAATTTTACTTTTTTTCTCAATATCGGTAAGTACAAACGCATTTTCGTCTTACGTTTCGGATTATTTCAATAGATGAAGACAAATTCGTGGTGACTAGGATTATTCAAATGGATTATTTTTAAGGAATTAATATTTTTATCAATAAATTTGTGTGAAGACAAAAAGTAAGCGACTCTAATAGAAACAGTTTAAAAAATCTATAATATTGTAGTTAAAGCCATTTCACAAAAGACAAGATGTTTTCATTACAAAAAATAAAATACAATTTGTCCCGGCGCATCCAACAATTTTACCTTCAGTTACATTAAGCAACAACTAATTTAAATTTAGTTAGACATATTATAAACATTCTTGATTTGCATTTTATAAAGATTTTTCGTGAATTCATTGTTTTGGCTGGCAGATTGTTTAAAAATGGGTTGTAAACAACGCCCTTGATTTTAAAGGTACGGGTTGTCGTCGCCAACTGAGAACGAGGGCCTGCATTTCATTTAGACTATAGCCGGAAGGAGGTGAATCTCTGAAAAAGCATTTTATTTTAGAAGTTTATTGTTAGTGGTACTGAGTGTTTTTGCGTGTTAGTGAGTGTGCTGGGGCCGGTTTTGATTTTTGTGCATACAGTAAAGAATCTTCAAAATCCCTAAGGTAAAATCATCCATGACACTAATTTTCAATTTTCTTCTTCAACCAAAGACAATGAGTTATTCTGCAAAGGGTGTGGAAAAGTTGTAAGAAAACATTTAAAATACTGAAGCTTGAATTATGTTCACATTTTTGTTTCCTAGTTTAAGTGCGAAAAAAAATCACACTTTGAACAACACTGCAGTGGCGATGCACATAAAAAGAACGAGAATAAATCCAGTAAACAGACTTTATTAAACATTAATTCCGACAATGATTTTACGCAATTTTGCACCGATTTATGTAGGGCATTTACCGCAGCAAATATTCCATGGAATAAAGTTAGTTGTCCTGAGTTTAAAAATTTTATGCATAAATATACAGGAAGGCATTTACCCTCAGAAGGCACTCGAGAAAAAATTATTTACCAAAAGATTACGATATGGTGAGCACTAGAATTTTTATTTAAAAACATTTTAACATAAATTTTATAATTTACAGGTAATTAAACAAATTAGAAATTCTATTGGCAATAATAATATATGGATTAGCGTCGATGAGACGACGGACAGATTAGAAAACATAGCCCATTTGGTAATTGGAAAATTACCTTCTGAAGAAGCTGGCCGCCCATTTCTACTATCTTTAAAGCAGTTTGATAAAACTAATTGCAACACAATCTCGAGGTTTATAAACGAATCATTGGGTGTGCTATTGATAATTTTAAGCATTGCAATTATTATAATTTATTTAATTGTTAATTTGTAGCTTTATTGTGGCCAAAAGGAACTGAACACAAAAAAGTTAAATGGTTTGTATCAGATAGTGCTTCATACATATCAAAACTGGGACTAATTTGAAGGTGTTTTATGAAAATCTGTATGGCACATGGGTTACATTTAGTGTCTGAAACAATTAGACTGAATTATCCAGATGTCAATGGGATAATTAGCAATGTTAAGAAAATCTTTTTAAAAGAACCAATAAGAGTAGAGTTTTATAAAAACAGTTTACCAAATACACCTCTCCAACCTGAACCTGTATTAACCAGGTGGGGCACTTGGATTCAAGCAGCATTGTTTTATGCAGAACACTTTGATATAGATATAGATATAGATATAGATATAGATATAGATATAGATATAGATTCAACACTAGAAAAACAACAGTCCCTGGACTGATGTAAACTACTCACAATGTACATATTAAAACTTATACTCTAGGAATTCATTTGTACTATAAAAGGCATGACGCAGGAGAAGTGTCTTTACCTTTGTTTTGAAAGCAGAGCCACATAAAGTTCTGTAGCGCTGGGGTAGGTGATTGTATAAGGATATGTTAATGGACAAATTTTTTGTCTTCGTCAATCTAAAACGTCTTGTTCTTACCAAATCAGCTGTTCGGGTATTATATTTATGAATATGATACTGATGAATCATATCACTACGATTTGAGTGAATTTCTATTACCGTGAAGTATATAAAAATGCATGGAAGGGTCAATATATTGTTCTCAATAAAAAAAAGACGACAGTGCTCGCGACAACCCAAACCCAGGATCACACGAAGGGCCCTCTTTTGTAAGCGGAATATAGTAATAGATAATGGCGAGTTTCCCCATAAAACAATAGCATAAGAGATATTTGAATGGAAAAGCGCATAATAGATAGACTTAAGTGCTTCAAAATTAACGATTTCTTTCATTTTTCTTAAAAGAAATATAGTGGAGGAAAGTTTACTGGCCAGACATTTGATATGGTCACACCAGGACAGGTTTGTATCAATTGATAAACCTAGTAATTTTACTGTGTCAGAGTTCCCTACGAGGTTGCTATTGGATGAAATTAAAATTTTTTGTGTTTTATTTTTGTTAAGTTTAAGAGAGTTAGAGGCAAACCAGATGTCTGCATATTTTTGCGCTGTTTCGGCTTTGTTTAGTAAACTGTTAATACAACGATCTGACGTGATTAGTGAGGTATCATCGGCGTATAGCACGCAATTCGCTTTCTTGTTTATAAAATTATAGAAATCGTTTGTATAAATAATAAAAAGCAGGGGCCCTAAAACGGACCCTTGCGGAACACCATGTTTTACTGTTGAAAACGCGGATTGCATGTTATTCACTGCCGAACATTGCTTTCTATTAGATAAATACGAAGAAAAGAGCTTGTGTGGAATGCCTCTAACACCATAGAATTCCAGTTTTGTCATTAGCGTGGTATGACTGACACAGTCAAAGGCTTTGCTTAGATCGCAAAGTGTGACCATATTAATTTCACTATTCTCTAAACCGTCGACTACAAGTTCCATAACTCGTAATAAGGCCTGCGTTGTTGCTTTACCTGATCTGAAGCCAAATTGTGCTTCGTTGATTATGCGAAATTTCTCAAAATATTTGGTCAGTCGTGATTTAATTAGTATTTCTAAAACTTTGCCAGAGATTGGGATAATGCTAATGGGTCTATAATTGTCAAGCAGAGCCGCATCGCCCTTTTTCTGGATAGGTATAATTTTGCTAAATTTCAAGCTGTCAGGAAACACCCCACTTCCAAGACATTCGTTAAAAAAGTTAGTCAGAGGCGTTAATATTAAACTCACGGTCTCTTTTAGAATTTTGGAATTGATACCGTATACATCGGTGCAGTTGGAGTTCTTTAGGTTGTTGATAATATTTGAAATTTCGTTATCACATGTAGGTTCTAAGAAAAAATTGTTGCAAATTTTAGGCATGGTATTCAACAAAATATCCGGTGTACGTACGTCAGTTTTGTCGATCCCTTTTAGAATTTCATCAGCTATATTGGAAAAATAACTGCTAAATTCATTAGCGTCAAATTTTGTGTTTTTCTGATTGGAGTTATTTTTATTTTTATTTCGTAAGCAGTTGATAAATCGCCAGCTGTCTTTGGGAATATTATCAGACTGAGCAATGTACGAGCTGTACGCATTTTGTTTAGCATTTATTATGGATTTTTTATAAACGGATCTTGCTTGTTGGTACGCTTTTTTATCACTAAGGTCTTGGGTACAGTCAGAAATTATTTTGATCGCAGCAATTGAATCCCTCATACGTCGCAAGTCGTCGTTAAACCAGCTGATGGTACATTTGCTGGATGTAATACGTTTTTTTAGCGGAAAACAGAGTTTGATCAATCGCTGATATGTTGTAACTAGGTATGTAGCAAAAATGTTAACATCACAATTGGTTTGGATAGATATCCAATCCACGGACATGAGATGATCACGTAATTTGTTTAGACCCATATCATTTACTGGTCTGCTAAAATAATAATTGTTACGGACGATATTACTGACTGCGTGAAAACAAATATATTGACCACTGTGATCAGATAATCCTGGTTCCAATATTCCAAACGAGATGTTGTGAAACAAGCCAGTAAATATATAATGATATTTTACTATCATTCTTATATTGGATATTTTTAGGTTGTAATGTCATTTGAAGCCACAGATGCACAAAGCATTAAAAAAGTTCAACAATTCCTGAATAAAGCAAACGTTAAAAATGAACTTTTGTACATTAAAACTCACTCTAAAATTACTGCTGCTGCAATAGAACAATTAGAAACAAAGTATAAGTTTGAAATTAATCCAAAGTCTGGAAATTGAGGAAAAAGTGTACATATCTTTAAAAAACACACCAGGAAAGGTGGGGGAAATGGCGTTCCAAAAATTATGTTCTCTGTTAAAAAAGAATGCAGGATACGATTTTATATGTTCACTAAATAACGTAATTTGCGGTGATGGAAGTGCTACCAACAATACATACATAAATGAAAACGTAAATTGCTCAATATTTAATTTTGCACCCATCACTTCTTGTGACGTGGAACGCACGTTTTCAAAACTTAAAAGTGTTTTAAGCGATCAAAGGTGTAAATTTACAATCGAAAATTTAGAGAAATATATAGTTTGCTTTTGTAACTCATTTTAAATACCTGAATTCATATTTTGTTTTTTGTTAAATGCGACTTGCTTTAATTTTGCATAAACGCAAATCAAATTTAATCTCTGATTAAGAACAATTGTAACTATGATAATAACTAGAGAGCGGGAAATTTTCATTTAAGATTCCAACAATTAAACTTGCCACGCATCTTCCACAACTATCGGTTGTTTCATCGACAGCGAACCATAAATAATTATCTCCAATGCGATGTTTAATTTCGTTGTAAACTTGCTGAAACACTGGGCCTACATAATTTTTTCGGAGAGTACTTTCAACCGGAATATGTCGATTGCAGTGTTTTTCAAGGAATTCTTCAAGAGGGCCTTTCTCCAATTTTTTTAAAGGTATATTGGACTGGATCATCATTTTACATAAATCTAAATTAAACTGAAACTGCTCATTTTTTGTGGAAGTAGATGCAACAGATGCATGTATGGTCTGCTGTTTAATTTTAGAAACTTCAAACATTTTCTTCTTTTCTACATGAAGAGTCGTTCTGACATGTTGCGTCACGTTATATTTTTTATCACTTTGAATCTAAAACAACGTACATATACAGGATTAACAAAGGAAAATAGATAAAAAAAATTAGTGGGGTTACGATTTTCACACAAGCTCTGCAGAATATTTTGTTGTTTTCTAATTTTAATTCTGGAAAATCCCTTATCCACTCATCCGGCGTCGATTTTACTTTCGGCATTCTTTTAAAATATTAGTAATAGTACCAAAAAGAACTCAACATGTAACAAGGGAGAACCACGTATAACACTGTACTACGACAGATGCGATAGACTGATGGTTGTGAAATAAACGGTTCATTTAGTTAAAAGTTTCCATTAGAAAAATTTTAAGGTAGGTAGTTGGGAACAAGAATCCTTTTTTCTAGAAAATCTTTAACGGTCTTGCCGCAAAATGCCGAAAAAGAACATCTGGTTAAAAGCTTTAGTTCATTATCAACGGAAGTAAGGATTTAAAGTCATAAAATCTATGGAGTATTTTTCCAATCCTATAATAAAATTTTATTACCCGAACGACCGGAAGCTATTCACAGAAAGGGTCTTGAGTAAGTGTACTTCAATGGTCAAGTCCAGGTAAAATGCATACGATACGATACGGCTAACTAACAAGTATTTGTCATCCCGACAAGGCCGGCGTTTGAACAAAATATGCATTAAAACTCGTATTCGTCGAAAAAAGCATTACATAAGCATATAAGTTTTAATATGCATAGAAGTGAAAAAAAAGCAAAGAAGCATAAAAAAAATGTGTCAAATGACTCCAAATTGTATCATAGTTACAGATATACAAAAGTTTTGAAGTGCTTACATTTTTCACGAAAAGCATTAAACCTAGAAATCCGCTCTCTAATAATAACAATCGTTACTATGGAGTTAATCAGAGATTACATTTGATTTGCGTTTATGCAACCGGCCCTTAGAATTAGTGGACGTAATTATAGATCGTTTGTTTATTTAAAATTTTTTTGTTTGTTACACAAAATATTTGTTTCTATAATGTTTTTTTTAATGTTTTTTTTAAATATATATATTTTTGATGTGTGCTTTTTCGTTGAGCAAATATTTTTTCCTCCAGGTTTTTCACCTAAGCTAAGATTTTTATAACCTAATTCATCAATTTTGGGACCTAAAAATGTCTCCTTTTATTCAGTTTTTAACGACATAAAATCCGAAGCCTATTAATAATAGTTAAAATTTTACTTGTTTTGAATTTTTTTTTAAAGTTAACATCGATTTTGTAGGAAATTATTTATTAGGTAAATAGCAAGACTAAACGGGTCTGTGTTAATTACACGTTGTGCAGAACTCTTGTCTCCTGAATAATAAACAAGAAATCCTTGTATTTGCTCGGACGCTAATACCAATCGAAGTTGTAATAAAAGACGCAATAATTATTAGTGAAATAAATATTTCAAAGCCAAGCAATGCCTTCTAGAGAGTTAGAATTCGTTAAATCATTTTACAACACTTAATTTTCCGCTCTTCAAAGTTTAAACGTGTTAAAATTTCATATCGCATTTATTCCTTGGTCACGAGATATCTAAAGTCCATTTAATTAACATTTCATTACCCAGATTCGCTAGTAGCAATTTTCATTCATTAATAAATAACTCTGACCTTTTGGCGCATAATCGAGCCGACGAGTTTCATTGGTCAGTTTTTACCATAACCAAAGAGTTATAAAAGACGAAAAA